TACAGGGGGAAGCAGACGTGTCCTGAGACCCTTGGTCCCACCCTGGATGAAGTCCAGGGTTGTTTGGAGGAGGGAAGGAGACGAAGTTTCTCTTCTCCAGGGGACAGCAGGCCTCTGGACTTGCTTCCCTCCCGCTTTGTAACTTTGGTTTGGGCACTGTTTGTCTGCCGCACGGATTTGTCCTCTTTGTCGGATTGTTCTGTGTTTTTTGTGTCCTTCTGTTCATACTGTTTATGTCCATTTCTATTCTCCCCATGGGTCAAAAACTAACTACCCCACCTAAGTTTGACTTTAGATCCACAGGAGAGCAGGGCTGGAGACCCAGCTAGACAATGAGCGTGCTCATCCCCTGCCCTCAGGAATGTGGCAGGGCAGCCAGAGCCACTGGGGCTGAGCTTCAGCTGAATAGCCATGGCCGCGAATGGCCTGGGCAGATCCATGCTGGAATGGAGGGACAGGGATATGACTTATGACCCTGCCACTGCACATGTTTGGTTCCCAACATCAGCCTCCAGGGCTGACCCTTCTCCCCAGATCTTTGTAATTGGAAAAACTAACCACCCCCTTTTTGGAGTTCCTTATGTTCTCTCTCTAGGCTATTTGAGATGATTATCAACAATTTCTGCTTGAGGCTAGAAAAATATCCCTGGGGCCGATGGGCGGCCAGCGCAGCTGAAAAAAAAAAAAAAAAAAACAAGATTGACTTGGGATTCCTTTTGAGGTGCCCCAGTTGGGACTTCAACACTGCTGAAGGTAGGGAGACCTTAAAAATCTATCGCCAGGCTCTGGTGGCAGGTCTCTGAGGTGCCGCGACATGGCCCACCAATTTGGCTAAGTTAAAGAGAGCACTTTTTGACACTACTTCAGAAGCCCAGAGAGCTTTGGTGGCTCTGGTCTTCATGGGGAAATTGGGCCCCAGATATTAGGAAGAAACTCCAGAGACTGGAAGAGTTAAGAGACAGAGAAAGTGTATTGAAGGGACAGAGAAGAGGAGAGAAACGAAAGACAGTAGAGAGACAGAGAGCAGAGAAAAAGCGTGACAGAAGACAGGAAAAGAATTTCACTAAAATACCTTGGCTGCAGTGGTTAAAGGAAAAAAAATAGAGAGAGAGAAAGTTAGGAAATTTAAAACAGGCTAGGGAACCTGGGCAACAGGACTCCACTTGACAAGGAGGAACAGTGTGCATATTGTAAAGAAAAAGGACACTTGGCAAATGACTGTCCCAAGAAGACAAGGTCTCGAAGGTCCTAGCCCTAAGAAAGGATAAAATTAAAGGGAGACGGGGTTTGGAACCCCTCCCAATGCCCAAGGTAATTCATGGACTACCCGAAGAACAGTGGACCTTGGCATGGGCCGGGTACCCCACTCGTTCGAGCCACCAGCCAACTGCCTTTTGCCTTTGAATGGAAGGACACTGACACGTGCAGAACTAGGCAGCTCATCTAGAGCTGAATGTCCCAAGGGTTTAAAATTCCCCAACGATGGCCAGGCAAGTAGGAGAATTTCTGGGGACATCTGGGTTTTGCAGGCTGACTAAGGAAAAAATTCTCCTGGACCCCAGAGCACCAGGAGGCATTTGATGCCATTAAAAAGGCCCAGCTGAAAGCATCGGCTCTAAGCCTTTTGATGTAACTAACCTTTTACCCTTTATGTGGATGAGCATAAGGGGGTCTCCTGGGGAGTTTTAACCAAATCCCTAGGGCCTTGGAACAGACCAGTTGCTTATCTGTCAAAGAAGCTTGATCCTGTAGCAAGGGGAGGGCCTGTCTATCAAAAAGATATCACTGCTGACAAGTTGACTTTGGGGCATAAAGCAACATTAATAGCCCCCATGCATTGGAGAGCATTGTCTGGCAGCCACCAACTGATGATGACCAATGCCCGTGTGACCCACCACCAAAGCCTGCTTCTCACTGAGAGACTGAGTGGATTGTGTTCGCTCCACCAGCTAGCCTCATCCCACCACTCTTCTGTCTGTGGAGACTGGTGAACTAGGGATTCATGACTGCCATCAACTGTTGGTTAAAGAGACTGGAGTTTGCAAAGATCTTAATGACATCCTGCTGGCTGGGGAGATGATGACCAGTTCACTGCCATAAAAGGTAAAGAAAGGACTGGGGCAGTGGTACTGCTAGACAAAGAGAAGTCCATAAACATTAACAGGCAACAGGTATGCTTTTTCAACTGTTCATGTGCATGGGACTGTCTCAACTGTTTGGCTAAAAAAAAATTACTGAAGAAAATTTTCCGAAGATTCAAAATACCTAAGGTAGTAAAATCAGACAATGGTACAGGTTTTGTGACCCAGGTAAGTCAGTCACTGGCCAAGATACTGGGGATTGATTAAAATTACATTGTGCATACAAACCCAAAAATTCACGTAGAAAGTATAAATAAAACCATTGAGGAGACCTTCACTAAATTGACCGTGGAGACTGGTGTTAATGATCAGATAGCTCTCCTACCCTTTGTGCTTTTCAGGTTTAAAAACACCCCTGGACCATTTGGGCTGAGCCCCTGTAAATGGCTCATTGGGGGGCTCCCTCTACTGGTGGAAATTACCTCTGTACATAGTGCTGATGTGCTGTTTTCTTAAGCCTCTGTTTGCTAGGCTTAAGGTGCTCGAGTGGGTGAGACAGTGAACAAGGAAGCAGCTCTGAGAGACCTACGTGGTGGGAGACTTGGAAGTTTCACATCACTTCCAAGTTGGAGATTGAGATTTCATTAGATGTCACTGCACAGAAAACTTGAGACTTGGAGGGTGGAAATAAGGGAGAGGGAACTGGGATCGACATGTATAATAATAAATTACAAAAAAACTATGCTCTGACTCAAATATTTATGTTCAAGGACAAGTTACTGGGGAAAAGGATTTCTATTTTTTTTTCCCACAGAAAACGAAAAGCTGTAGATTTCTTCCATATTAATGTGGTTTGATCAAGCCAGACCGCCTGAAACAGAATACCAAGTGAGCCTACACTCAAAACAGCTGGACAAAGCAGCCTTACAGACTACAGCCAGGATTTCAGCATCTTCTTAGAATCCCCCATGAGAGCACCCCTTACAAGCAGGAAGTAGTTTGGAAAGAACGATGCCCAAATTCCCAAATATTGTCTATAAAAGTTTGTTTTCATTTAAATGAACTTGGTTATAAAAAATAAATAATAAAAAAGATGGAAAAATACTGTTAAAAGTTTATGATTATCCTCTAAAATTAGTAAAGCAATGCAAGAGTTCTTATCAATGCTGTTAACAGTTTACCGATCAGAGATAATGACTTTTCTCTAAACTCAGTAAACCAAATCTCTAGTACCCTGACCACAGGCAGGTGAAAATAAGTGTTTTTTTTTTTATCTCATGCTTCAAAGGAATTACTGGCATTTTATAATATGTCTGTAAATTGTGACCAAAGATCTGTTCCTTGTAATTTCTGTATAAAAACCCAATACTCTAAAGTAAAAATGGTAGCAGTTGCAAACCGCCTCCAGTGTGTTTGTTTCTGTCAAGACGAAGCCACTCCTGACATGGTCATCGAGTTTGGTACCCATGGGGGCACATCACCCACTGAGCAGTCTGCAGCATGAGGTGTTATTGGCCGGGTTGTACAGGAACATCCAACTGTCAGGAAATAAAAGCAGGTACCAGATCAAATATGATAATTTTCTTTCTCTCATCAGAAAGCTTGATCATTGCTCTATAACTGTAGGAGTTTTATTCCTGAACCTCAGAAAAACCACTTAACAAACACAAAATTATAAAAAGAGTATTCTTCGTGGAAAGTTGAAAATTTAGAGAGGAATGGAGCTAGGAAGATTTTCGTGTATGACCACTACTGTTAGCCAGCACATCTTACTCAGTGAGCAGTTTTAAACAATCTGCATTATTCAAGAATTCAAGCTTTGTAAGACCCTCAGAATGAGGAGTCTCCCAGTTTCCATCGGTATCCCCAAGAACTCAATGTCCAGTCCAGTTGCTTCAACATGCAAGAGGCTTTAATGAACAGGAAACATTTGTGCAAAGGGGCCCCTCCAGCAGGCAGACTAGTGAGAAGAAGCCATCTCCTCCCTCCACCCCCGCCACACGGCACAGGTGTTTTTAAAGGCAAATACCCCAAGCTTAGGGAGGGGGGTGGGACCCTCTGTCCATTGAGTACATGACCCTTTGAGGCTGGTCTCCCTATTAGGGTCAACAGACCTTAGGGCCTCAGGGTGTGCTAATTAATCTTGTCTGGGCAAACCAGAGGTGCAGTTATCTATTTGTTTCTTAAAGACCCCATTCACCACCTGCTGACTCACAAGAAAGGAGGGGCAGTGTAAATTCTTGGAATCTTGTTTTCTCAGGGCCTTGTGAGGGGAAGTTAGCAGATTCCAAGGAACAGATATTGCTAGGGGTTAACTTTCCAGTTTAGTCTGTCCTTCATTTAAAGTGGGGCGTTTCTCTAACTTTACTTTTTTGTCTTTCACGCCCTATATCTTATCTCTAGAGAGTAAAGTTCTAGTACTCTGATCTACAAAGCACCCCACCCAGAACCCGCACTTTCCCCACCCTGTGTCCTACTGCGCCCACTGCTCCACTGGTCTGGTTGAGCACTGGGACCGAGAGCGGGTCAAATAAACAAAACACCTCCACCTCCGGAAAATTTCTTGGACCTGCTTTGAAAATACTGGACCCCTCTATCCCGCTGGAGCAACCAGTGTGCCCGCCTGCCTGATGTTTATCCGTCATTACTGAGGCTCTGCCGGGGGAGAGACCTCCTAGAGTGACTGGAACAGACAGAGTTACAGACATTGAGCACCTCTCACAACTCTGTCCCCAGGAACTCCTTCTCAAACACACGGTTCCGGGACTGTCCCCTGCACAAGCAGCTGCGATCTCACAAGCGGCTGCGATCTCAGGACTTCCGCCTTCCGGTCACGAACTAAAGCTTCCGGTTCGTGGCTGTCAGTGTCCCCGGAAGACACACATGGAAAACATGCTTCTAGTTCCACCCGGCCAAACTGACACACGATTTCCGCTTGTGAACCAAGGACGTCAGGCTTCCAGTCACTGACTTGAGCTTCACACAAAATGGTCCCCAGGAAAGGTTGCAACGAAGAGATGCACAACTTGAGTTCCACCCGTGAAGTAAACAGGACGGAGTGCGCTGCGGCCTGAGTTCCGCTTCCGGCACATTACTTCCGCTTACGGATGGTGCAACATGCGATTCCCTGCCCACCGGGCGGCGATTAAATCGGATCCGCTTTCGGCCCAGGAAGGGAATTGATCGCATCGGACATTGCGGGCCCGATAGGAAACGCCTTAAGGGACGGGACTAACAGGTCCAAGTGAACAGGTCAGAAACGGCTGATTCTGACCGCAAAAGAGGCAGCACAGAGCATATTCCCTGTCACTCATCGAGGCGGTAGGTGGGACTTCCGGGTGCGGCGAACAGGGCAGAAACAGAGATCGCAACCCTAGGTCCGTGCACCCCTCTGGTTTTCGCTGTTTCCCTGTTTATGCCACGGTTGGCAGCAGGGTTCCTGTTGCCGGGGAAACCGGGGTGGGACTTCCGGCAACATGGTAAATCGGGGCGGGACTTCTGCGTGGGAGCATTGACCAGGAATTAATGACTTAGAGAGGTTCCCAGGGGATGGGCGGTGTCACGGGAGCCGTGATGTCAGAGGAGTTACAGGCGTGGCCTGTAGGGCACACAGCTGTCAATCAAACACCTGTCATTCAGTCATTCATTCACTCATTCATTCAGTCATTCACTCAGCCACTCATTCATTCAATCACTCATTCATTTAGTCATTCATTCATTTATTCAGTCATTAATTCATTTACTCAGTCATTCACTCATTCATTCAGTCATTCATTCAATCATTCATTCATGTAGTCATTCATTCATTGATTCAGTCATTAATTAGTTCATTCAGTCATTCATTCACTCATTCAGTCAAAGGTCAGTCATTCATGAAGTAATTCAGTCATTTCAGTCATTCATTCATACATTCATTCATTTACTCATCCATTCAGTCATTAACTCATTAATTCATTGTACAATCATTCATTCATTCAATCACTTCCTGTGTGTGCTGGAGGCGGGACTTGCGGTCCCTGAGGCTAAGGCTCTGACATAGACAGGCAGTAGGCAGGATTTCCTGTTTCCTTTTACCTACACTGTAGCCCATGGCCATCTTGAACCCCGCCATCTTTTTTGCACACCCAGGGGCAGGAAATAAGTCCCATCATCTCAGAGGAACCGGAATTGGTTGTCTCAAGCCGGAAGTGGACAATTTCTGGTCCCTCCCAGAACGGAAGTGAACCCCCCAGACCGGAAATGTGCGATCCTTTCAACATGGAGCTGGTTCCACTCACCAGGCTGCTGCAGGGGAAGAGGGTGGTGCTGGCGAGCAGCTCCCCCAGGAGGCGGGACATCCTGTCCTCCATGGTGACTTCCAGGGGCAGGGCCTGCTCTGGGATTGTCAGCTGTGACTTCCAGGGGTGGGGCCTGCTGTGACTGACAGCACACCACCCCCCCAGGGACTGCAGTTCGAGGTCGTACCCACCCACTTCCAGGAGTCCCTGGAGAAGGCGAGATTTCCGGCTCCGCCCGAATATGCCCGGGAGACAGCAAAGCTGAAGGCTCTGGAGGTGGCGTCGGGGCTGTGCAGGGTGAGGATGGCCCCATCCCTTCTGGTCAGGTGGTGGCCACACCCCTTCCTTTCGAGGCCCCGCCCACAAGCCTGCCCCGCCCTCTGCTCTGCAGGACCTGCACCCTCCTGATGTCATTATTGGAGCTGACACCATTGTGGTGAGTGAGGCCCTGCTCCTTCCGGCCCTGCCCGCCCTGCCCCTCACTGACCCGGCCCCTTGGCGTCTGGCTCCGCCCACTGCAGGCCGTGGATGGCGTCATCCTGGAGAAGCCAAAGGACAAGGATGATGCCTACAGGATGCTGCGCAGGTGGGCGGGGGCCTGAAGGGGCGGGGCAGACCCACCCAGGGCAGAGTGGGCGGGGCCTCTGCATGGAGCTCCAGCCTCTGCCCACCCCAGCCCTGCCCCTTGCCAACCACGCCCTGTCCCGCCTTCCCTGGCCCCGCCCAGGCTGAGTGGCCAGCAGCACAGTGTCATCACCGGTGTGGCCATCTTGAGGCCACTGTGGCGGAGGCAGCTTCAGGAGCCGAGTTCCACATGCCCAGAGGCCCCAGAGGCGGAAGGGGACCCAGAAGCAGAAGTGGAATTGTCACTGTTCCACGAAGAGACCCGTGTGACATTCTCGCGGCTATCGGAGCCACTGCTGTGTGAATACGTGGAGAGCGGGGAGCCTCTGTGAGTGGGTGCGGGGTGGGGTGGGTGGGGCCAGGAAACCTGGAAGTGAGGCCTGAAAAGGAAGAGCTGTCCCCGGCGGGCGTGGGTGTGGCTGAGCATGGCACCTGGTGTGACTTCGTCCCTGCCTTGCACCCAGGGACAAGGCTGGCGCCTACGGGCTTCAGGCGCGAGGTGGTGCCCTAGCAGAGCGCGTGGAAGGAGATTTCTTCAATGCCGTGGGGTTTCCACTCAACCGCTGCATTCGTGAGCTGGCTGCCATCTTCCCCGGATGTGGGACCACAAGTCCCTGTCAGCCAGCGTCCGGCCACACCCCAATAATGAGGATTGTAGATGGAGAGTGAGTATGTGAGTGACTGTCTGGGCGGGAATTCTGGTGAGAGAGTGACTGAAGGGGCGGGTCTTCTGGTGAGTTTGTGAAGCAGTGACCCATTTCCCATGATGCCCTTGGTGCATTGTGTTTGATTGACAGAGCAAGGTTCCCTCAAGTGCATCACTTCCCAGTGCTAGGACACAGGACATGGGGTGAGGTGTGTGGAGGCAGGGTTAGGGGACAGGCCCACCGAGGGGAGTACACCTAAACCCGCCCCTGTGGCCCTGCCCCTCCTGATGCCCCGCCCTCACCATCTCCATGGGCCCTGCCCTTGCCCCCACTGGGTCCTGCATGAGCAGCTTCACCATCAGATGCCTGTGATGGACATTTGACATCAGGAGCAGGGTCAGGGAGGCCCCACCCCCTGCCCGCACTCTGATTTGCATATTCAAGAGCTGCCTGGAGACTCAGAAGACATCAAGTACAGAAACTGCTGGGGTTAATTTGCATGGCCACACCTCCAAATGACCTAACCTGCATGTATTTGCAGGTCAAAGTCCCAAACAGATGGGAATACTTGCATTCATTTGCATAGCAAAAGCATGCAAAGCAGCACAAATTTGCATATTAAAGTGTATTTCCGAAACTGGGGTTTGCTCATTTACATACTCAAATGTGAAGCCCCAATCAGACTTCCAGATTTTCAGGCACTGTGCTTATTTGCATAATCAAAATTACTAGTGCATCCTTTACATAACAGTTTAGTAGCCTCATTTGCATATTTAAATGAGTGGCAGGTTTTTGCTGCTCAGCATCAGGCCCCCACCCCTTCAGCACTACCCTAGCTCACCTGTCCCCTACCCCCAGGTCACAGTGTCCAAGGTCACAATCAGTGACCCTCTCCAGGCCCTGCCCTCAACCACACCAGGCCCTTCCCCACTTTCTCTCCTAGGGTCCCCGAGGGCAGGGCCGGGGTCTGGGTATTACCTATGGTGCAGACAGGACTTGGTCCAGGCAGTGACATCACAGGAAATTGTGACTGTGAGCAGGAAGTGCCCTCCTTCCCTACCCTCACCATCTCCACCCCCAGCTGGGCATGGCAGGAGTCTCCTACCAAACTCTTTGGTTACCAAGCAGCAATGCTAGGACCCAGAGTACGGTGGCCATGGTGAGCAGGTTATGAGAATAAAAACCCTGAGGATGATGAGTGTGGCCCCTGTGACATCACAGAGCTCACCCCTCCAGGCCCTTGTAATGTCAGTCACCGCATACCCTGCCCCTCCAGCTGTCAATCACTACAGACCCCACTTCCTGCCTCTGGGCGATGAGGTCTGCTGAGGGTGTGATCTACAGGCTGACTGGGCGGGGACCTGTCAGCTATCTTTATAAAGGTAGAGGGGCAGGCTGCAAGCCGAGGGCTGGATTTCCTGGCAAGGGGAAACCTGGCAGTAGAGACTCAGGTCAATCATCAAGGGTGGGGCATGACTTCTGCTCGCAGATCGCAGCCAAGGCTGACTTGAGCCAAGGCCATCAGGAACTTTTGTAACTGCTGTGGCTGGGACTGCATTTCCCAGCATCCTATGCGGCCGCTTACTGCTTCGCTGCCCAGAGACTTCTGGGTTTGGATGTTCATGTCCAGGACTGCATTTCCTAGCATCCTGTGCAGTCGATTCCTGTCTTTATGCCCAGGGATTTCCGGTTTTCATCTGTACCGGCCAGGGACTGTAGTTCCCAACATGCTCTGCGGTGGCTTTCTGTTTTTCAGCAATGAAACTTCCAGTTTGTACTTTTTGGAGGCCCAGGACTCCATTTCCCAGCATTCTCTGTGGCCACTTCCTGCTTCCCTGCCCAGGGACTTCTTATTTTCATCTTTGGCAGCCAAGGACTATATTTCCCAGCATGATTTGTGTCCGCTTTTCTATGAATGGACTTCCGGTTAAAAACTTTGGGGTCCAGAACTGCACTTCCCAGCATGCTGTGTGGCTGCTTCTTTCTTTTCTCCCCTTGACATTCTCTTCTGGACTTCAAGGCCCCTAACTACAGTTCCCAGCATGTGCTGGGCTTGTTTCGATCTTTTCAGTTCCTAAACTTCTTCTGGTCTCTGAGGCTCCAGGACTCCATTTCCCAGCTTCCTGTGGTGCCGCATCCTGTTTTTCAGTCCTGAAATTCCACCATTTAAAGGCACATAATAATTTAGAAATATTTGAGAATTAGAACAGTTGAATTTAAGTTGTATGAAGTTAGCTTACATTTACATAAAGTTAAGTTGAAATCGAATGTACAGATATATTATTCAGGACTGGGTAAATTGAGAAGGACAAGAGTGTGAAGCTATGTATAACATAGTCAGAGAAAAAAGATATTACAGACAAAGAATAAAAGGCAAACGGTAAATGACTTACAGGTTCTGTTGGCGGCAGAAGCTGGCTAGACTCTTTCTGCCTAGATGGCTGATGTAGCAGAAAGAAGAACCATGGTGGGTAAAGCTAGGCCACATGGTCAAGATGGTGGCTGCCATAAACATATTCCCAACAGCTGAAAGAAATTGTAAAGTTTTGAGATATAATTTTGTCTTGAGCAGATGCTGCCTCAGCCCAGCCCACCATGCTGAGACAGGTTGCAGCTGGGGCAGGCAGGAGAATTTGAGCGTGCCGGGAAGAGAACCGAAACAAGTTTAGGGAAAGAAATTGTTTAGCAGAGATATAAAAAAAAAAAAAAAAAAAAAAAAAAAAAACGCCTTCCATCTATCTGTTCCCTGGCAGTAATTTGAAAGATCCCATAAAATATCGGGACTAGAGGCCGTTACGTGGCCAATTTGAATTATTCTAGGGGATATCTAGGCTACTTTTCAGTACAAAGGTAAATAATCTGGGTGACTTTACAAGTGGCATAAGAAAGGGTTTAATCCTATCAGGCACCCGGGGGGGGGGGGATATTTCCTTGGTGGTTTATTCCCAATGGGTGGAGTGAAATACCATGCATCTTAACCACCAGCCCAAGAGTGGGCCACACAATCGCGAGAATGGCAGAGCTTTCCGAGCCGTAGCCCAACAACGTTGCCAGGACCAACAGAGGCGGAACCAGCAGTCTGAGAACAGAGCCGATATCACACTGGGCTGTATGTCTTCCACCCATGGAATGTACCTGACCTTAAGGAATTGGGTTAAAATGTAAAAGGGTACCTTACCTAATTGAAGCCTGTGTGGGGTGGTATTTCCAGTGAACGGGGGGGGGGGGGATGGTGGTGGAACGCTGGTATCTGAAACAAGATCCTGAGTGTTTCTGGCTGGCCGCCCACCAGCAGACAGCTGTCAGTGACCCTCACGTAGAGCCTGCCTGGGTTTCGGCACCAATGTTGTTCTTTTGCTGTGCAGCTAATGCCTAAGAAACACAAACAGGAGACTCAGGGCCCACGTGGAGATTGTTGAGAGAAGGGAGAGAAAGAGGGGGTAGCTGGTGGCCAACTGAAAGCAGGAGAGAAAGAGGGGGGTGTGGGGCACTTGCTTTAAAAGGGGAGGCTTGCACATGTGTAACTGAGTCCTCTGGCAGCCAGGTAAACCTTGAGCCATCAGGTAAAGCTGATGTAGCAATGACATGGCCATGAGGGTCCCGCCCATCATCAGGGTGGGGGGGTCAAATGGCTGCTAGTTCCTAACAATCAGATTACTAAGCGGAGTCACTATTTAGCTACACATGTAGTTAAGTGTAAGCCACTAGTTAGCCACAAACTAACCCACTAGTTAGCCACACATACTAGCTCACTAGTACCCACACACACCATGCCACTTGTTAGCCACATACTTAACTCACTTTTTAGCCACACATATGAAGTCACTAGTTAGACAAACACCTAAATCAATAGTCATCCCCACACCTTTGTCACTAGTTAGCCACAAAAACTAAGCCACAAGTCCATCACACAAATAAAGCAGTACTTAGCCACACACACTAAGACAGTAGTTAATCATACACCTAAGTTACTATTTAGCTACATGCCTAAGCAGTAATTAACC